CCCCAAAACCCCAAAACCCCAAAACCCCAGGAAAAACAAAAAAAATTGAAAATCTTAGTGAAGAATTTTACTGAAAATTTTGGAATTTTTGTGGAGAATAAGGAAGAAATTTTGGAAACATAGGGGTTGTGGAGTTTAGATTGAAAGGGATTTTGGCGGCCAAGTGAGAATTGGAAATTGGGGATTTGGATTATGCATAGATTAAGTTGTTGTCATCGTAGAGTTTCTTTTATGTTTGTAGCAGCGATTGGGTGGTAAAAATCTCAATGCTTTTCAAAAATCTTCCTAGCCATTTCAAGATCAATATCATGCAGAGCCATGTAAACAGGTGCGATAAACTTCTGTCTTCCAATTGAAGCAACGAAATCATCAGCGAGTGTATATGGAGAGCTGAGCTGGCCTGTTCTAATAGCTAGTTGCAGCCATCTGTATATAATCTCTCCATTAATTTCTTTACTTATGTGCAGGGTTTTGTCAATATAGTCAGCTTTAGAGCTATCAATATGATCCAAATTGTCTATCAAATGGCTAATAAAGATACCCTTGAGATTGACAGTAAAGTGTGAGTAAATTTTAAGAGCCTTGGAAGTATCAACGGATGCATCTATAAAGTCCTGTGCTAACTTAATTGCCTCATTATATCCTTTAGTTTCAAAATCGAGAATTACAGGTGGAAATCCAGGAGAGTATATCCAAGCTTCAAAGTCAATTTGAGTAAGGATATCTTCAGCTTCTTGTGGAGTGTAAATTTCAGAGATATATGATTTGAAGTAGTCGATGAAATCTATGACTCCAATGCTTGTACGAGCAAATTGTTTTAAATATTTCCTTAAGAAATCCATCAGCTTTTCCTCTCCGATTACAGTCTCAATAAAATAAAGGAACTGGAATCCTTTCTCATATGGGATAATGCTAAATGCTGCATCTGGGTTATCTCCCTGAAAGATGGGATGGAGACTTGAGAAACTATTGTTCATACCATAATCATTCATATCATAATACATTGACTGATTCTCAAGCTTTGCTGTTACTTTCATAAAATCTTCCCCAAAGATGTTCCTGACTGTTTTTCTCTCAAGGAAAACAGTGAATCCCTCGTTCAGCCAGAAGTTAGTCCAATTGTTATTTGTGACTAAGTTACCAAACCAGGAGTGGGCAATTTCATGAATAGCAACATTAACTGACGATTTATCACCAGGAACAATAGCTGGTGAAGCAAATATTAAAAGAGGGTTCTCCATGCCTCCAAATGGGAAGGATGGTGGAAGAATCAGCAATTTATATACTCCCCATTCATAAGGAATGGTTAACCTTTCAGCTTAACTTAGAAAATCTTCTAGTTCAGAAAATTCATTTGCAACTTTTTCGATTTCTTCAGGCTCAGTTATAACATAAGTTCTATTTCCTACTTTCCTTTCTACTAAATTTCCGGAGGCAATAGCGAGCAAGTAGGATTGAACTGGGATGTTCATCTCGAAGGTAGAGTACCTAATCATGCAATCTGTGTAGTCATAAGTCATATTTCCACTGACTCTTGTGACAAACTGAACATGTGTGGTAGTATTTACAACGTAAGTCGATTTAATACTAGGAGTGTCTTGGAAAGGAGCTAGAGATCTTGCAAGTATGGGCTCAGACTGAGTGAACATGTATGGAAGCTTTTTGCCAGAGGTCTGTTCTGGGGATAGCCAACTAATAGCCTGTGCATCAGGAGAAGTTTCATAGCTTATAGTAAAGTTGAATGTTTCTGAAGTCGATAGATCCTCTGGTATAAAAATGCTTAATCTTTGGCCAAGATTTGGGTTAGGGTCATCAATATGGAACTCATATTTATTCCCACTCTGATCCAGAATTTGGTAAATGTTAAGATCCCAGACATCTAAATAGACCACATCAAGAGAATCAGCAGTTCTTCTCATGTAGAGGGTGTTGGTACCAGATAAGACTTTTCTTGAGAAGTCAATGAAGATATCTAATTCATAATGCTCGGTGACAATTTCATTTACATTTGCGAATGTTGCTTGGTCTATATCAATAAAACAGCTTGATAATTTCTGAAATTATGTGATATTATAATTCCTTCGCGGACTTACCTTCAATCGGTCTTGCCTCAGTACTTACTAGGAAAATCAAGAAGAGGAGAGACAATGCTTTATAATCCATATTTGAAATAAATCAATTGATTTTTAAAGTAATGGGGTTTTGGGGTTTTGGGGTTTTGGGG